TCTAAGTTGTAACTCTTACTTCTGAATGAATATGACTGTACAGTTTTGGTTGGACCTGTTATCACTGAATTATCGAGTGTGCAGGTTTAGTTGTTACTATAAAGTATATAGTGAGGAAAGTACAACCATAGTTACATCTGCTACCCAGGAAGTACCGGTTTTATTTGTATTTCTTAACCCTAAGGTACCAAATGTACAGTTATAATTCTAATTGTAGTACCTCAGAATTAGCAAATGTGAAATATTGGGTGCAAATTTTACCTCTGAAGCGCTGGGTGTACAATCTCAGCTCTAACTGTTACCTCTAAAGTGTCGGGTGTACAATCTCAGCTCTAACTGTTACCTCTGAAGCGCCGGGTGTACAATCTCAGCTCTAACTGTTACCTCTAAAGTGTCGGGTGTACAATCTCAGTACTAACTGTTACCTCTAAAGTGCCGGGTGTACAATCTCAGTTCTGACTGTTACCTCTAAAGTGCCGGGTGTACAAGCTGAGCTCTAACTGTTACCTCTAAAGTGCCGGGTGTACAATCTCAGTTCTAACTGTTACCTCTAAAGTGCCGGGTGTACAATCTCAGTACTAACTGTTACCTCTAAAGTGCCGGATGTACATTTTCAGCTGTAACTGTTACCTCTAAGGCATAACGAGTGTATACAGTTCCTGCTGTACCTGTGAAACACAGTCTTGATTGTACTTTCTACCACTATATTATTGAATATACTGTCTTGGTTTTAATATTACCTGACCAGCTCTAAAATAATGAATGCTTTGTTTAGTGTTTGATAATTTCTAGTATTTTTGTCAAGCCCGAAACAAGGTTAAACAAAAAAAACAAACAATGATGCATGTATAGGTACAATAAAGTACAAATCTCCTTCCGAAACGGAATGCTGTGTTTTACTATTGAGTAAGGAATGATTCTGTAAAATATTTAATAGGTGGCAGTCCTACCTTTAAAGTGTCGAGTGGCAGTTCCGGATCTCTGAAATACCCTACATAACTGCTACCCGTGATATACCTTTAAAGTTCCTAATGTAGAACATAACTTGTATATTTAATGTGCCGGATATACATATATTCAATTCCTGTTGTATTTACACCTGAAGAACCATTTATACAAACTTGACTATAACTGTTGCTTTTGAAGCCACGGGTGTACAGTGTAACTATATCTAGTATTGTTAAAGTACCACATATATATTGTTGCTTATTGCTGTTACCTAAAAATTATGCAGTCTTTATTGCATATATAACTTCAAAACTATCTGATGTACAGTTTTGGCTGTAAATATTACTTAATTCAGAAGTATCTGATCTATAATTTTGGCTGTAAATGTTAATTAGATCAAAAATATTTATTGTATAGTTTTCGCTACAAATCCTACTTAATTCAGGAATATTTGTTTGTTTGTTTCTAGTTTAGCACAAAGCTGCACAACAGGCTATCTGTGCTCTGCCCACTACGGGTATCGAAACCCGGTTTCTAGCGTTGTAAATACGCAGAAATACCGCTGTGCCACTGGGGGACTTCAGAAGTATCTGACGGACAGTTCTGGCTGAAAATGTAGTTTCTACCAGAACTATCTGATGTACAGTTTCGTCTACAAGTGTTAATGATCTCAGAAACATCTGATGGACAGTTTTGGCTGTAAATGTTATATAATTCAAAAGTATTTGGTGTACGGTTTTGGATGTAAATGTTACTTATTTCAGAAGTTTCTGATGTACATTATTGACTGTACATGTTACTTAATTTACAAGTATCTGATGTACAGAAGTATTTGGTCTATAGTTTTGGCTGTAAATAATACTTAACTTCAGAAGTAATTGATGTACAGCTTTGTCTGTAAATATTACTTATTTCAGAACTTTCTGATGTACAGTGTTGGCTGGAAGTGTTACTTAATTCAGAAATACCTGATGTACAGTTTTGACCGTAAATGATACTTAATTCAAAAGTATCTGAGGTACAGTTTTTATTATAAATGTTAATTAAGCCAGAAGTATTTGATGTATAGTTTTGGCTGTAAATGTTACTTAAGTCAGAAATATTTGATATAGAGTTTTGGCTGTAAATGTTACTTAATTCAAAAGTATCTGAGGTACACTTTTTACTATAAATGTTAATTAAGCCAGAAGTATTTGATGTACAGTTTTTGCTGTAAATGTTAATTAAGTCAAAAGTATTTGATGTATAGTTTTGGCTATAAATGTTACTTAAGCCAGAAGTATTTGATGTACAGTTTTTGCTGTAAATGTTAATTAAGTCAAAAGTATTTGATGTATAGTTTTGGCTGTAAATGTTACTTAAGTCAGAAGTATTTGATGTACAGTTTTGGCTCTAAATGTTACTTAATTCAAAAGTATTTGATGTACAGTTTTGGCTGTAAATGTCACTTAAGTCAGAAGTATTTGATATACAGTTTTGGCTGTGAATGCTATCTTTCTCGAATCAGGTGTACATTACTCAATCTCATAAGATTCATTTGCTTTGTTATTTATGTAGATACCAGTAAAACTGAAAGAAACGTATTATGATTACTAAAAAAAAAAACCAGAAGAGGTAAGTTAACCGATCTAGAAGAAAACTGAACTACTCTTCTTTCTGTTCACACATTACATCAAGTACGTTTTGGCTGTATAGTTGTATACTATTCGTTAAAAATTCTATATTGCGTGAATATCATAAAACCGAAACAAATTATTTCGGACTTTTATTTATTGAACTTCATCTTTACTAACCTAATGTATTATCCCAAAGCGATCAAAATGTGAGCATTTACAATATCATATTGGGTAATTGTCACCTTATACCTACTTGATTATTTATGATGGATAATTACTCCACTTGGAGAAAAGAAATTTAAAAAGGACAAGTTTGACGATAGTTTTACAGCAAATGAAACTGGTAGTTGGAGTTGAAATTAATAATATATAATTTCTCCAGGTCAACGGAAAGAAAGATGAACTGAAGAACACAGGACGCAAAAATTATTTCTGAACTGAACAGAAGAACTTTTCAAGGAAAACGTTGGTTTAGTTACACGAAATGACTGCTCAAGTAAAATGTTGCTCTAGTAAAGAGAAAGTTGTCCTAGGTGAACATACCGATACTCATGGAAAAAAGTTGTCCTAGGTGAACAGACGGATGCTCATGGAAAAAGTTGTCCTAGGTGAACAGAAGGGGGTGCTCAAAGAGAAAGTTGTTCTACGTGAATAGAAGGGGTGCTCAAAGAGAAAGTTGTCCTAGGTAAACAGAATGGGTGGTCAAAGAAAAGTTGTCCTAGGTAAACAAAAGGGGTGGTCAAAGAGAAAGTTGTCCTAGGTAAACAGAAGGGGTGCTCAAAGAGAAAGTTGTCCTAAGTGAACAGAAGAAATGTTCAAGAAGAAAGTTGTCCTAAGTGAACAGAAGGAGTTCTCAAAGAGAAAGTTGTCCTAGGTAAACAGAAGGGGTGCTTAAAGAGAAAGTTGTCCTAGGTAAACAGAAGGGATGCTCAAGGAGAAAGTTGTCCTAAGTGAACAGAAGAAATGTTCAAAAAGAAAGTTGTCCTAAGTGAACAGAAGGAGTTCTCAAAGAGAAAGTTGTCCTAGGTAAACAGAAGGGGTGCTTAAAGAGAAAGTTGTCCTAGGTAAACAGAAGGGTGCTTAAAGAGAAAGTTGTCCTAGGTAAACAGAAGGGATGCACAAGGAGAAAGTTGTCCTATGTGAATAGAAGAAATATTCAAGAAGAAAGTTGTCTTAGGCGAACAGAAGGGGTGCTCAAGGAGAAAGTTGTTCTAGGTAAACAGAAGGGGTGTTTAAAGAGAAAGTTGTCTAAGTTAAACAGAAGTTTTTTTCAGTAAAACCTTCGTATTACATAAACTATAGTAACACCAGTTTTACCAGCATACCCAGCAAGTTATTTATATTCAGTTACTGAGCAGCATCCAACGTACTATACTAGAAGGTACAGTTTGTTTTATCTAGTTCAACTGATTTGTGTACCAATTTTACACGAAAACACATAACTTATGTATCCAGAAAACAACGTTTTACCGTTATAATCTTCTGAAGATTTAATTAATTATATATTTAACGTTTCAGTTACCACCAAAGTCTCTATGATATAACGTAATTTTAACATTTCCTTTTATTTGATGTTTGAGAAATACGTGTTTCCAAGTTTAGAGATTTATCAATAACACAATTTCTATGTACAATGAAAGAAATCTGTGATCATGCATTTTTCACATACTTAACACCAGAACATTGATATATGCCTATTTTCCTTCTATACAGACCATTGTTTACATATACAATTCACTGTTAATATACTTTCATCACTGCCGCTGTTACAGTTTGTTATAAATACAGCAATAATATCCTCCTAAACAGATCATTGTTTACACATACAATTCACTGTAAATATACTTTCATCACTGCCGCTGTTACAGTTTGTTATAAATACAGCAATAATATCATCCTAAACAGATCATTGTTTACATATACAATTCACTGTAAATATACTTTCATCACTGCCGCTGTTACAGTTTGTTATAAACACAGCAATAATATCCTCCTAAACAGACCATTGTTTACATATACAATTCACTATAAATATACTTTCATCACTGCCGCTGTTACAGTTTGTTATAAATACAGCATAATATCCTCCTAAACAGACCATTGTTTACATATACAATTCACTATAAATATACTTTCATCACTGCCGCTATTACAGTTTGTTATAAATACAGAAATAATATCCTCCTAAACAGACCATTGTTTACATATACAATTCACTATAAATATACTTTCATCACTGCCGCTATTACAGTTTGTTATAAATACAGAAATAATACATCTAAATTTGTAAAGTTGGATACATCGGATTGCCACTTTACTTACAATATTAATTAGTTTAGGTAATAGTATCCAGCTTCTTTGATGAAACGCCTTAGATACTGTATTATTAAAATTAGTAATGCTTACAAAGTTTCACAAGAAACAGTGCATAGCTTATTCACAAGCATTAATGATGTATTTCAGTTCTTTGAACGTACCATATTGCATTGTGTACCATGATAAGAGATTTAGACAATTTATGTCTTTTTTGAATAAAAAGTAAATCGTTCGAAACGTTGTCTTAATTTCATTGTATAGTTTTCTGCTCTTTTGATTATATTTTTTGTTAATACTTATCCGTCAGTGAAACTAGTGGCCTCACTTGCGTTTATTTTCTCAGCATGAAAACCCAGGAAGCTACCTGTTCACACTTGCCGGGAAGAGCACAAATGGGCTAGCCGACTGGCAACGGCAGGCGGAGGTTCGTTATTAACCGTAGGGCCGTGGTGACCTGCTCCCCAAGGTATGCGACCGTCTGCCAAGCCGTGGCCGGAACCGTGCGGGAAGTGCGAGTTTTGAACGCCCGGCCGATGGTCGTGCAGGCTTCGATGAGAATCGCGCTCTTTCCCCGTAATGACGTCCGTCATGAAGGCGATGTACATGATGGCAAGGCGGAGCGTTTCTATTCTGGAGAGCCGTTTCTCGTAAGCGAACGTTGGCACCTATAAGAAAAAATAAATAAATAAAGTTTAGCCGATTAAATATTTGGGGGGAAAAAAAGAGAGTAGAATATTGTTTTAGACTAGTACAAAAATAAACCTGTACTAGAATAAGAGAACGTGAAAACAACAGTAACTAGGAAGTGCCAGAATAAGAAGAGAACGTGAAAACAACAGTAACAAGGATGTGCCAGAATAAGAGAACGTGAAAACAACAGTAACTAGGAAGTGCCAGAATAAGAAGAGAACGTGAAAACAACAGTAACAAGGATGTGCCAGAATAAGAGAACGTGAAAACAACAGTAACAAGGAAGTGCTAAAACAAGAGAACGTGAAAACAATGGTAACAAGGAAGTGCTAAAATAAGAGAAAGTGAAAACAACGGTAACAAGGAAGTGCCAGAATAAGAGAACGTGAAAACAACAGTACCAAGGAAGTGCC